TACACTAACAACAAGATGGAAGAAAGAGAAATTAAGGAGTCGGTCCCATTTACAATTGCACCCCAAACCATAAGATACCTAGGGATAAATCTAACCAAAGAGGCAAAGGATCTGTACTCAGAAAACTATAAAATACTCATGAAAGAAATGGAGGAAGACACAAAGAAATGGAAAAATGTTCCATGTTCATGGATTGGAAGAACAAATATTGTGAAGATGTCAATGCTACCTAGAGCAATCTACACATTCAATGCAATCCCCATCAAAATACCATCCACTTTTTTCAAAGAAATGGAACAAATAATCCTAAAATTTGTATGGAACCAGAAAAGACCCCGCATAGCCAGAGGAATGTTGAAAAAGTAAAGCAAAGCTGGTGGCATCACAATTCCGGACTTCCAGCTCTATTACAAAGCTATCATCATCAAGACAGTATGGTACTGGCACAAAAACAGGCACATAGATCAATGGAACAGAATAGAGAGCCCAGAAATGGACCCTCAACTCTATGGTCAACTAATCTTCGACAAAGCAGGAAAGAATGTCCAATGGGAAAAAGACAGTCTCTTCAGGAAATGGAGTTGGGAAAATTGGATAGCCACATGCAGAAGAATGAAACTGGAGCATTTCTTCACACCACACACAAAAATAGATTCCAAATGGTTGAAAGACCTCAATGTGAGACAGGAGTCCATCAAAATACTAAAGGAGAACACAGGCAGCAACCTCTTCGACCTCAGCCGAAGCAACTTCTTCCTAGAAACATCGCCAAAGGCAAGGGAAGCAAGGGCAAAAATGAACTATTGGGACTTCATCAAGAGAAAAAGCTTTTGCAAAGCAAAGGAAACAGTCAACAAAACCAAAAGACAACCGACAGAATGGGAGAAGATATTTGCAAATGACATATCAGATAAAGGACTAGTATCCAAAATCTATAAAGAACTCATCAAACTCAACACCCAAAGAACAAAGAATCCAATCAAGAAATGGGCAGAAGACATGAACAGACATTTTTCCAAAGACATCCAAGTGGCCAACAGACACATGAAAAAGTGATCAATATCACTCGGCATCAGGGAAATCCAAATCAAAACCTCAATGAGATACCACCTCACCCCAGTCAGAATGGCTAAAATTAACAAGTCAGGAAACGACAGATGTTGGCGGGGATGCGTAGAAAGGGGTACCCTCCTACACTGTTCGTGGCAATGCAAGCTGGTGCAGCCATTCTGGAAAACAGTATGGAGGTTCCTCTAAAAGTTGAAAATAGAGCTACCATACGATCCAGCAATTGCACTACTGGGTATTTACCCCAAAGATACAATAGTAGGGATCTGAAACGGTACATGCACCCCGATGTTTATAGCGCAATGTCCACAATAGCCAAACTGTGGAAAGAGCCAAGATGTCCATCAACAGATGAATGGTTAAAGAAGATGTGGTAGGGTGCCTGGGTGGCTCAGTCAGTTAAGCGACTGCCTTCGGCTCAGGTCATGATCCTGGAGTCCCAGGATCGAGTCCCGCATCGGGCTCCCTGCTCGGCGGGGAGCCTGCTTCTCCCTCTGACCCTCCCCCGTCTCATGTGCTCTCTATCTCATTCTCTCTCTCAAATAAATAAATAAAATCTTAAAAAAAAAAAAAGAAGAAGAAGATGTGGTGTATATATATATACAATGGAGTATTATGCAGCCATCAAACGGAATGAGATCTTGCCATTTGCAATGACGTGGATGGAACTGGAGGGTATTATGTTGAGTGAAATAAGTCAAACAGAGAAAGACATGTATCATATGAGCTCACTGATATGAGGAATTCTTAATCGCAGGAAACAAACTGAGGGTTGCTGGAGTGGGGGGTGGGGTGGGAGGGATGGGGTGACTGGGTGATAGACACTGGGGAGGGTATATGATCTGGTAAGCGCTGTGAATTGTGTAAGACTGTTGAATCTCAGATCTGTACCTCTGAAACAAATAATGCAATATATGTTAAGAAAAAAAAAAGAAGAAGAAGAAGGTAGCAGGAGGGGAAGAATGAAGGGAGGGAAATCAGAGGGGTAGATGAACCATGAGAGATGATGGACTCTGAAAAACAAAGTGAGGGTTCTAGAGGGGAGGGGGTTGGGAGGATGGGTTAGCCTGGTGGTGGGTATTGAGGAGGGCACATTCTGCATGGAGCACTGGGTGTTATGCACAATGAATCATGGAACACTACATCTAAAACTAATGATGTAATGTATGGGGATTAACATAAGAATTAAAAAAAAGAGTAAAGAATAGAATAAAATGTTAAAAATGTTTAAAAAAAATAAAATAAAATATAAAGCACATGTGGGATGACACAGCAGTGAACTGAGTGACATCCAATGGGATTTGGGTACTCCAGAGTTGCTGGAGCATGCCAAAGGTTTATAGAGGAGAGGCAAAGGGTAACAGAGACTATGGAGTAAGAGCATTTTCTCAGACTGCCTGCCTCTGTTAGGCAGGTTGCTTTGGCATTGCTAACCAGTAGGATGACTAAAGCGATAGCAGTCTAGGTCAGTCCGAGGTTGGGTGGCACAGGGTGAGTGAACCTGAGGATAAATCCTACCGAGGATCAGTGGAATCCCACATTCTTCTACCAGCTAGTGTAATGAGTCATGCTCCTCTTTCTCATAGAGGATTTTTATCTTCTCCAGTGGTTCAATTCTGTAAAATCTGAAGAGATATTTTAATTGAGGTTCTCTTTCCTCAAAGACTTGTTCATTCATTCAAGAAATTTATCAAGCACCTGGTGCATGCTGCACACCAGTCCAGCTGTTTGGAATATATTCATGAACTACACAGCAAGTGTCGCTCCCTCGTGGAGCTCAGCTTGTAGTGGGCGGAGTCAACACACAATGAAGAGGCATATCATAGAGACTGTTAAGAGCAGATAGTGCCCTGGGAGGAAAGGGAAATGGAAGCAGGGCAAGAGGGGCTGGGATTGCAGAGCAGCAGCCTGCACTGTTCGGTGGGTTGGCAACAACAGGGCTCTCTGGGAGGGCAGTGTCTGTGGTGATGGAAGCAGGTGAGGGGACGTGTGACTCTGGAGAAGAGCATTCTGTGCCACAGTCTCTGAGGTGAGAGAGAGCCTGTGTTGGGGGAACAGCCAGGAGGCTGGAGTGGCTGAGGGAAGGAACAAGGGAGGATGTCAAAGAGATTGCCTGGCAGGCAGGCTTAGAACTTTCTGGAACACCCTCTCCTCTTTTGCATTGGGTTTGGCAGGGTGATGTGGCAGGCATGTGGAAGCCAGCCAGAAGTGGAGGGGAGTGGTGTGGGACTCGGCGGAAGAATCTGTAGCAGCCCCTGCAGGCTCTCGAGCCCAAGTGATTGCTCTTGCCTGGCCCAGCCATGACTTCTCGTTCCAGGGCTGGGGGGCTGGGGTGAAGGAGAGTTCAGACAGCTGGGGAGAGGCAGACAGATGGTCCCAGGAGCACTGTCCAAGTCATGGGTTACCTCGGGCTGACTGAGTGAGCCCAGTGGCTTCATCGATCTGCATAGTTGCCTAACCTGGTCTTTTGAAATGTGGGGCCACATTGAGTGAGGATTCAAACCCACCCCAAACCCTGAATACTTTTAAAACCATAAATCAGTCTTTATTTATTTCACCTCCTAGAAACAGAGGCAGCAGCGACAGTCCCTGCATCCCGGAGATCCCGGGATCACATAACTAGCTTTCACGGCTCTTCCCATGCAATGCCGTCAGAGGGAAGAGGCCTGCCTTGCATGTGACGGGGCTCTGGTTGGTCGCGCCGAGTTACTTCACACGCCAGGGAAATGCTGTGAGGATTTATGAGTAGATTATCTATTCAAGGCATATTTGGGGGCTGAGAATACTGTTTTGCTTTATCACGTGTATTTTTTCATATTGCAAAGCCACGAATGCCATGAATTCTGGTGGTAGAAAGTAAGGACAGTGTGAGGTGTAATTTTTCTCTGGGTGACAGTGCAAAAATGCTGTAATCTGAGTTGGCCAATGTTGCATGGGACAAATGGTATGAAGTAATGTAGGCTGCCACAACCCGTGTCTCCCTTTGGGTCACCAGCCCAGGCCACAAATCACCATTCCTCCCGTGTGCCTCACTCTGTCCCCCTGTATGTTTCTTCTCTGATTGGTAAGGAGACAGTTCTTCAAAATCACTAACACAAGCTGCAGCAAGATTCATTTTAATTCAGTGCTGTGTTTAGAAGGGACTTTATGTTTTCAAATGGTGGATTTTTACAAATGTCGGGCCTTCAGACCCTTACCATCCTTAGGAGGCATTTTTGCTGGCAGTAGGGGCAGATTCATCATTGTGAGGTTCCTGTTCTATAAATCCAGAAACTGTTGTTTCAGGGTGTAGGCAAGGCGACAGCCACCGGCAAATCACGGTGAGAGGGGTGATGGCTTGCCCCAAGGCTGCAGCTGCCTTCCTCCTGTGACTGTCACCAGCTAAAGCTGCCGCACGTGCTCGGCCCGAGCTCAGCCGGCTCAAATACCAAGTGTGAACAGAGTTCCGGGTTACAGCTCTGGGGTCGAGACTAACCAGGGCCAGGCTGTTGGCAGTGATCACCTTACAGGGAGTGGTGTCTAATAGTTCTGGGGCATCTTGGGGCTTCTTCAGGATTGTCACAGGCCTTACTTTTATGAACGTTTTCACAAGGGCGTTGCAAGAGAACTTGTGAGTGTATTAGTTCATCTTAGCAGAAGAAACCAGTTAGAAGGCTTCATGGGAAGCTGGGAACATGCCCACGCTCGTGGCAACCTTGGAAAAGATGTTTTCACTCCCCCTGAGGGTGGGCTGTTTTGTGCCGTGGCAGGGCTTTGGGGATATGGGATGTGTTTTCCTGGTTGCCTGGCCTTGGTCTCTCTCCCTGTGGAGCGTGGCCGGGTGTGGAGAGAACGCAGAGAGGCTGTGAGCCCGAGGAACGAGTCCGTGGCGATTGTATTGCCGTGGCAAACTAACCTTGAAACCCTACTCTCTCTTCAACCTCATGCTCCAGCTGCCCACTCCTCAGCCCAGGCCCAGGACCGACCAACGGCCACCGTGTCGCCCCTGCGCACCCAGAACTCCCCATCCCGCCTGCCCGCCGCCAGCCTCAGGCCCCACTCAGTGGTGTCCCCGCAGCACGTGCACCAGCCTCCCGTGCAGACGGTCATCGGGGCCCCGTGCCCCCGACCAGCCATCCCGCTCACATCCGCAGCGTCCGCCGTCACACCTCCCAATGTCAGTGCCGCCAACCTCAACGGGGAGGCCGGAGGGGGGCCTGCCAGTGGCCTGTCATCGTCCAGCCCCACCAACACCGGATGCAAACCAGATGACAAGAAAAATGAAAAGGTAAGTGGCCCATCCTGGGCGAGTCCTGGCTGTGGCCCAGCTGGTTATTTAATTCTTTGGCACCAGACATCAATGACATTTTGTAAAACTAAGGCTTGAATTAGGGCACCAAGTTCTTGCCCTCAGATGCTTCGGGCCTATGACAGAGATGGAGGCCAAACCAGCAAAGCAGCTGTCCTTGGAGTGGAATTCAGGCAGTCTTCAGGTTCTGGTAGGGCTGACCCGAGCCCAGCTATAGCTTTTATGCAAATCAGAAAAAAAAGTATCGCTTCCTCAGAATGCTCTAATTCTGTCTGTTGGAAAATCACTGTAATATACTCATTTTGTTGGAACAAGATACTTATTGCCAGGTACCAGGATGTAATAATAATAAATATATAAATCTGTTTATGTACAGTGTGAATAGCTTCCCTTCCCTTCAATGTGTCATCCTTGTACAATCTACAACCTGTTCAACCACATGGGACAGGCCTGTTTTCTGAGGAGAAACAAGAGGGGGATGCTGGTCTGATGGTTGGTATAGACAGCATTTTCAGCTAGTCTTTTAACTTGTGAAGGAAATTGGGCTTATTTCACAAAAGAAATCAGTCCAGTGAGCTTGGCTCTGTTACTACCCAGCTACACACTGGATTAGCCAGGATTAGAGTCCAGATTTCTAAATCAGTGCTGCCCAATAAAACTATAATTCAAGCTACCTAATTTAAAATCTTCTAGTAGCCACATTTTTAACAAGTTAAAATAATTTTTAAAATAAAATTAAAAGGTGAAATTCATTTTAATCGTATAATCTATTAAACCCAGTATCTAAAAATATTATCATTTCAACATGTAATCTGTATAAGAAAAATGTTGATGAGGTGTTTTGCCATTTTTCACATTCAGTCTTTAAAATCCAGGGAGACATCTGCAGGGCTCACGGACCACTGCACTGCCCATTGCTATCCTGGACAGTGCGGACACACATCTCCAGCTGGGAGCTACTCTCTTCATTGCCTTGCTGTATGAACAACGTATTCTCATTCCCTCTTGGCTCTACCACATGATGTGGATCTTTGAAAACCTTTCTATATAAAACCAGTCTTCCTTTTTTTTTTTAAGATTTTATTTATTTATTTGATAGAGAGTGCATACAAGCAGGGGGAGCGGCAGAGGGAGAGGGAGAAGCAGGCTCCCTGCAGGGAGCCCAATGTGGGGCTCGATCCCAGGACCCTGGGATCACAACCTGAGCCGAAGACAGATGCTTAACTGACTGAGCCACCCAGGCGCCCTAAAAACAGTCTTCTGATGAGAGTGTGCGAGGCAGAGTTGGGCTGAGGCCTGCCACACAGGATGGTGTATTCAGGGCCAGGACAACCTCTCCTGTCCCTTGAGGAACAGTACCAAAACCAGCGTTGGCTGCCCAGTCCACTTGCCCAGTGCCCTGGAGGCATGCCCACCAGCTCACATCCTGTGCTCAGCAGGAGCCCAGAGGCCTCTCAGAGCTATGCACACCAGATTCCTCAGAGACCTCGGATCAGTGGTGCTCAGGCCTCGTCACCACCTGTCTCACCTGGTCCGGAGGAATATTATGCCCAAGCTTGGGAGTGTAGAAGAGGCCTCAGTCATAGCCACTGTTACTGTGCTCTCAGCCAGCACAGCTCAAGTCCCCTTGAGACCAGCAGGGTCCCAGGCATGAAGTGAAATGGTTGCTCTGTGGTTTGTGTCCATGTCTGTTTGCAGATCCCTTAGGTCTTGGTCTGCTCCCTTCCACCTTGCAGCCTGGTTAGGAGGAGTAGCTGGGTCTCATCGGGAGGCAGAAGTGGAGGTGCAAACCCACCCTCTCACTTGGCCATGCTTCCTGGAAGACTAGATCCTACAGGCCTTAAACAGGGGATGGACTTGGAAAGGGGAGGGCAATCATAGTTTTGTAAACATTTCTGGTTTTTTACCAAAAAATTCCCTCTGTCTAGTTTGCAAAAGAGATAGGGCTAGTGTCAGGAGGGCTCATGACAATAGAGTCAGGCTGGGAGGAGTCTACATGGAGAGCGATATTACTCACCATCTTGCCCTCTTAAGCGTGTTGCTAAGGAAAACCAGCGCTGGGCCTGCTCTCAACATTCCCAGCCTGTTAGACACTTAGCGGGCATTTTGTTTTCACTCAGGGTTCACTCTCTGCTAACAGTTCTCCTACATCAGCAAGGAAGAGTTGAGTCCAGGGGACACCCAGAGGGTCCCTCCTGATGAAAGGCACTGTGGAAGGAAGCCCTGCTTCCAGAAGGAAAGCAGCAGAGATGTGCACTTCACTCGGGCAGCAGAAATGCACAGCCGACGCCAGCCTGGAGCGGCCACGCTCGGGGCTGGGTGCTGACTGCCCACGGCCCGGGGCTGTCCATGCTGTGCTCCCACATGGGAAGTGAAATGGACATTGCCAGATGAAGCGAGCACGTGTTCGTGGGGAGGGCAGTAATCGTCCACCTCAAACCCCAGTGGAGAAATACTGTACATTGTCCTTCCACGTGTTATGTGTGGTTTTCACTTCTCCCCTCTCAAAGCATAAACAAAAAAAAGCACTAGTCTGGAAAAAACACCTGTTAATGGTTTTTCCTTTTGTATTGCCAGTAGAATTTCTCCTACCTTATAGTAAAGTGCAAAACATCCGCAGTTGCCATTCCTAGCAGAAGAGCCAAAATGGTAGCTGTTCCCGTGAACCCATGTGCTGTGCTCCAAGCCAGCCCGAGTGGGGCCCTGTGCCCCTTGTGCCACGCCACCCCCCCACCCCCGCCGGGACTGCGACTGAACAGATTTCCCCAACTTTGAAAACACAGCAGTTGGCTTCACATCTATTTCTGGGTAACCCCATCACAGATGTGCCCATCTCTAATTACAGTGGAAGGATTTTTTTAAGTAATTTGCAGTATTCTCCAGGTTGTTTCTGTTAATGAATTTTCCTCTGAAAAAGGCGGAGCTCCCAGCCCTGCTGCCCGTGGAGACCCAAACCACAGCACTTGTGTGTTTTCACAGTGCCGAGCTCTTCTGGAATTCTTGTGCCCTTGGAAGCATGGGCACAAGAGAGAAGACTGACTGATGGGTCTTCTGGCCCCTGAGGTAGCGGCAGGGGTGATTGTCTCCTAGGAGCATGGGAGATTTATTCCCAGGCATCCCAGCATGTAGGATACAAAGAGGCCCCGCACACCTGGCTCACGTGCTTTGATTGCTGTGGAGATCCCTGGGAGGCTGGCGCTCTGCTGGTTCTACCCTTGGGGATTGGGCTTCTCAGCCCTGCTGCAGGCAGGCCTTGCTCATCGGCCCTGCTTCGCCCACTTTTGGGTTGAGGCCTCCAGAGAGACTCAAGGGCTGACAGGGTGGGGACTCTTTCTATAAATTGGATCCTGAGCCAGAGCTCTTCTCTGGACCCAGGGCTTCTGCCAGAGTGTGCAGCCTCCAGCCTCTCTCCCAGAGGCTCTTCCTGCCCATCTTCCTGGTCCTATGGCTTCCTGCAGGGGCTGCCCTGTGGCCCGGCTGCTGGCACAGAGCAGCTCCAGCCTCCTGGAGAGCGGCCCACTTCTGCTAGCAGTGCCCAGTCCGGAGGTATACCCCTGTGCCTCGGCCCTGGAGCCCACAGTGAAAGACTGGAGGGCTTCCTGGCACCTGTGCCAGGACAAGGGTACACAGAGGATGGGCCTGAGATGGGGGAGTTCTGATCCAGGGATTCACTCAGAGCCGTGGACAACACTAGGGACTCTTCCAGCATCTGGAGCCATTTGGGCTGATCGGGGATCTGTTCTGCTTGGGGACAGATCTGTTGGGGATGGAAGAGGGCCCCCCTCCAAGAAGACCTGGGAAAGACATATGTTGTATAGCTGCAGGGTACTCCAGGCTGGATGGATCCCTTCCCTGTCTCCCAGGTTGGAAACAGTAGAGGCACCCGGGGCATGAGGAGGACCTCAGGGCACAGAGAAGACCCCAAGGCATGAGAAAGACCCCAGAATATGGAAATCATGAAAGTTACAATCTTCAGAAGGTACAGCTGGTGGGCATCATTGGAGGTCTTCCCATCCAAGGACTTGGGTCTAGTGTTTCTGAAGAAGGGACTGGATACAACTTTTGGAGTCATCTTTTGGTACCCACAGATCACAGAGTGGAAAGAAAATCTCGGAAGAATTTTAAGATGATCTGTAGTATTTAAGTTAACCCCTTCATGCTTAAATCCATTTCTGTGCTTGAAACAACCATCAAATACCACCCATCATGTCCATCCATGACTTTTCTGTTTCTGAGGCCTTGTGAACATTCAGTACCAGATGATATGGATCAGTTATCGCTCGGGGTCAACTCCATGGGAAAGTCATCGGAAAGAGAGCACTGTGCCCCCAGACAGAGGCCACGGTCAGTGACTAGCAGCAGTGACTGAGGAAGGAAGTAGAAGATCATGACCCTCCTGAAAGCCAGGAAGCTTTCCCCGGCCTTCTGGCTAGAAGTCACTCACTCATCCCTCTCTCTCCTGTTTATTACAAGGTGCATGTATGTGGTCCAGGCAGAGTGCTGGGCCCTGGGAGTCTATAGTGAGAGAAGATTCTGCCCTGGCATGGAGGGACACTGAGTCTAGTACTGGAATGCAGGCTGGTAAGCAGGCAACTGGGATAGAGTGTGACAGGTCTGGGGACAGGGAAGTTTCCTTGGGGGGAAGGGGGGGGAAGGTTCTGCCTGACAGGTAGGAGGACATTCCAGGCTGAGGGATGTTTCCCAAAGATAAGGAGCCCAGGAGCAGGTAGGAGGGAGCAAGGCAGATCTAGAAGGGCCTTGAGATCAGCCACACACCGTTGAGCAGTTTGAGTTGTTGGATGCTGGCTAAGAAGGTATAGTTTGAGTTGTTGGGTACTAGCTAGGAAGGTGGGATTTAAGGTCTGATCAAAGGTTAGCTGTGCTCCTTCCCACCTCTGAGTTCTGGACCCCTCATTGTCTCTGTTCTTCCTGCTCAGGTAACTGTGTCTCGCTCCGTGACAGCCCCTCTGACTGGTGCC